GGTGCTAGCAGAGTAGGTTAGGTTAAATTTAGCTATCTAAAGGTAAGAAGTAGAAGAAAGGCTCTAAGAGGCTCTATATATAGAGGTGCTAAGCGCTAAGACGCTAGGCTAGGTTACGTAATTAAATTACGTAACCTAAGGTTATATAACCTAAGGTAAATTTCTAAACTAGACTATTATATTACCCTCTCTTATAGAGAGAGCTTGTCTCTAAGCTCTAAAATACGCCTTCTAGGTCTCTCTTCTTCTAAAACTTCTATATTATACTCTTAACTATCTCTTTTAGCTTATAGTAAGTATATTTGTGTTAGTTTTAAACTAGAAGCGCTTTTACAGCTACTCTCTTCCCTCTAGAGAGAAAGAGGCTTGTTTTCGCGTCTATAGGGCGGCTTTGTCGCAAGCTTTCTTCTTAGCAGCGCCTTCGCGTTACCCTTGTGTCTTCTACTCTTGCGAGTTTTAAATTCTCTACTATCTTCTCTAGAGTCTTCTCTTTTTTATACGCCTTAATCTAAGCATCTAATTATAATAGCAGCTCTAGCTTATCTAGGTATACTACGTAAAAGTCTCTTACCTTATAGAGAGCGTTAATAAAGCCTACAGTATTATACTAGGTAGAGTTAGAATTATAAGCAACCTATACAGCGCGGTATTAAAGGCGATTTTAATAAAGACGGCTATCTAGAATTTTATATACGGGCTATTCTAAATTACTATTAACTTTAATAGGTAGCTACTTAGGCTCTACCTACTCTAGTAATAGCTCTAAGGCTTTTCTTAACTAATTAGCGTAGAAGACGTTATGCATACGTATATACGCAGGTAGCTAGAGCTAGAAGAAGTAACTCTTTATAGTAACAATTAGGTAAAGGCTATACATCTATTAATTAAGCTTTATACTAGGTTAATTTGTTAAAAAGCTACAAGGTTTAATATAGACAAGGTTGCCTACTATAAAATTAGGTTTTTAGCGCTTTTTATTTACTTAGAGCGCCTGCCTAGCTTGCGCTTTTGTAATATTGCTTTATGTAATTTTAGTAGCTTTTTCTACAGCGTTGTATTGCTTCTTAGCGAAATTCTAAGCTTTCTAGCGCAATAGACGCTTACGTAGAGTAGAGGCTTTTATTATACGCTTCTTTTAATTCTAGTAGTGTATTAGCTAGTGTCTAAACTTAATTTTATACGCTATTAGTTCTATAGTTTTATATAGCAACGTAGCTTATACCTAATCTATATAGAGTAGAAGGTCTAACTAATTATTCTAGTAGTAGTTAACAAATAGACGCAGACGCTAATTAAGATATTAATTAATAATCTCTGTATTTCTATTAGTTTACAAGTAGTACGTAGTAGAGAGCTTCTACTTAATTTCTATAAGCTAATAGAGCTTATTTATAAAGGTAGAGGTAAACTATAGGCCGCGATTTAATATAATAGACCTAGAAGAACTATATATACGCTAGATATATTAGTAATATAGCTCTACTATGCGCTAAGCTATAATTTTCTTATAGTAGAGTAGAGAAAAGCTCTACTTACTTAGCTAATCTATAATAACGTACACGCAGTTAAATCCTTTTCTATTAGAGAGAAAGCTCTTAAAATCTATAGAGACGTTCTACTATACCCTCTTAGAGATAGGTAGAGGCTTTAGAAGACCTAGCGTCTTATTCTATAGAGTATAGCTCTAGCAGTAAGCCTTATATACTACTACGTACGTATTAACGTCTTCTTGTATACCTAGCTAGTAATATTAATTTTATAGTAACTAGGTAGTTTTTCTTTATTCTAGGTAGGTAGTTACCTAAGTAGTATATATAGCGCGTATTAGGTATATTTATAGGTAGTTAATAGTAGAGACTATTAACTAATTCTAATAAGTTAATAAGCCGTCTTCTATTTTCTAGGCGAAGCCTAATATAGTAGCTTTTTCTTAAGCTAGCTGTAGAGAGTTATCTAATTAGTTAGCTATAATAACCTAATTAATTACAGTATATAGATTCTTAGTAGAGAGTGCCTCTATAAACGTATTAGCAGTAGCAATTTCTATAGCACTGCTAGCTAATCTCTAGGCAGCTAGGACTAATAACTTACCTAATAATTACTTAATAGCTAAGAGGCTAATTTGCTTCTTGCTTAGAAAAGCCCTTGTATAGGCGGCATAATCCTTCTTCTTTTAAGTCTTAAGCTCTTCTTACTTTTGTAATAACGCGTTAGCTACTATATTAGCTAAACCTAGTTAATAGGTAAGCTTAAGGTTATAGTTAGCAATATCGTTTACCTAGTAAACCTGCCTAGTAGTAAGTTTCTACTTAGTAGTAAAGTACTCTAAGGCTTAGTAGTTAGTTAATACTGTAAAAGGCTCTAGATTCTGTAAGCTAATTAACTAGCTTCTCTACTTCTATACGCTAAGAATAACTGCTAGTATTTCTTTGTTATAAATACTATAGTTTATCTAGGTAGTATTTATTGTCTTGCTAAAGAAAGCTACTAGTCTCTAGATACTATCTTCTTAAAGCTGTAAAAGAACTCTAGTAACTACGCTATCTAAGGCGTCTGTTTCTACTCTCGTGCAGTAATAGAGAGAGTAGTAAGCTAGTATAGTATTAGATAGCATAAGATTCTTAACCTACTAAAATACCGCGAGCTTAATTTCTCTAAAGGCATGCCATGCTCTCTATTTTAGTAGCTTAGTAAGAGGGCGGACAATCTAGCCGTAATCCTTTAAGAAGACTTAGTAGAAATTACAGAAACCTAGAAACGATTAAAGACTCTTAAGAGTTATAGGTATAGGCTAATTCTAAATAGTAGTAACCTTCTTAGAGTTCTTCTAGATTCTATTAGTACTTATAATTAATTCTAGAAACTTAGTACTTTTAATAGTAAATTTAGATTTCTTAATATCTACTTATAACCTAGCTTTATATAACTAATTAAGTACCTAGGCAATATAGGCTTTGTGCTTAAGTAGATCTTCTAAGTAAATAAGAATATTATTAATATATACTATATAGAAATTATCTAGTAAGCTATATAATACCTTATTAATATATTACTAAAAGGTAGTAGAGCTATTATAGAGACTAAAAAGTAGAACTTAATACTTATAGTTACTATACTACGTATAGAAAGATGTTAGGTTCTCTACTAACTTATTAAGCTAGATTTAGTAGAAAGCTTACCTTACGTCTAACTTAGTAAAGACCTTAGCGCGTAATAGACGTGTAAGCGTTTTCTAGATAAGAGAGATAGAATAGGCGTCTTTTTTTATAATAGCGTTAAGCTTTTAATAGTCTACGCAGAACCTCTATTCTCTACCTAGCTTTTTAGTAAATAGGACTAGTAACGCGTACAACGTATTACTATAGATAATAAAGCCGCGACAAAGGTAGTCTTCTAGGTAATTCTATACTAACTATAGGTACTCTAGTAATATACTATAAAGAGAACTATTTATTAAGATATTTTCTACTATAAGCTTAATGTTATAATCTATACTCTCTCTATATAGTAGTAGAGTATTAGAATTCTTTTTTAAGAAATAGGCTATAGTTGCGCTAGTATATTCTAGAGATAGAAGCTTTTTAGTAACTAGTTAGCAGAGTTTCTTCTCTAGATTAGCGACTAAGGTTTTCTTTCTATTAGTAATAAGCTAATTAACCTTATAAATACTAAGGTGCCTAATTATAGTGTCTTTTTAACGCGTATTAATTATAAAGGCAGCTGCGCTAATTATGTTAACGTTAAGTCTAGCCTTTAAGTAAGTTTCCCGCAAAACAAGTAGCTTTTTTAGCTTACAGGGCAACCTAGCAGGCGAGTTAAGATTCTTAAGCTACCTATCTATCTTGCGCAGGTTTTCTTAAAGCTTCTAGCGTTGCAATTCTCCCTTCTCTTATTATATTACTCTTAGCTTTTCTACTACTAATATTAGGGCGTTGCGGCGATTAGCATTAGCTTAGTAAGCTGCTTAAGCTTTAGTAGTAGATTAAGAGGATTAGGTAGAGACAAACGCGTTGCGTTTACAATTAATTAATTAATTAGTGTCTAGCTACATTAGTACGCGCTACTTATAGTTAACCTAAACGTTAATTTCTTTAAGTAGCTTACAACTAATTATTATATTATAGCGGCTAGTGTTACAACATACAAAGTAGGTGCGTATTTAGTAGCTTTCTAGCACTAAATTAGCTTTAAAGTATTTATCTACCTAGCCGTTAGGTCGTCTATTATATCTAGTAAGAGAGATTAGTTTTATACGTAATAGCTTAACGTAGAGGTTTTTTCTAAGAGTTTAAAGGTACTTTAGGTACACTAAGATGTAGCTACCCGCTTCTATATTAATTAAACCTCTAAGCTTAATTATAAGACTGTTTACAGATATTTAGTAGAGTAGAGTAAACGTAGAACTACTAAATAGCTTTTCGCGCAGGTTTATTACTCTAGTAGGTAGCTCTAGAGAGAAGACTTCTTCTAGAGCTAGGCTTTTTCTAAATTGTTAGATTTATATTCTAACGTGTTATTCTTAGGTGCTTACAGCTCTGCAGGCTCTATAGGCTCCTTCTCTAGATTAACGTTCTTAATAGCTTTCTACGTGGTAGAGGCTCTAGAGTAATTATAGCTTAGGTAGCTAGGTTAGTAGTATTAAAAATAGGTAACTAGCTTCTAGATTGCTAGAGCTTTATTAGGTGCTAAAAAACCTAGAAGAGCTAGAGGCGCGCGTTGTAGCATTAACGCGATTATATTACGCTTTTTAGCTCTTCTAGCAGCAACGCGTACTTCTTCTAAGGTAAGCTCTTAAGTAAGGTCTTAAGTAAGGTCTATATAGTAATTATAGTTATTAACGTATTAATATTAGTATATCTCTAACTACGTACGCATAGTCTCTAGCAGCTTCTTATAAAATTTCTCTACCTATTAATCTACTAGAAGCTAACGCTTCTATACAAGGCGGAAGAAATTATTCTAGAAATAGGCGAAATTAGTAGCGCTTTAGTAATAAAGCTTCTAGAAATTATAGTAAGCGTTTAGCCTCTTATATAGGTCTCTATAGCTTCTCTCTAGCTAATTAAGAATATAATTATAGAAAACTACTACGCTACTATTCTTAATTATTTATAGTATTACTAATAGAGTCTAGTACGCGTCTTCTTTAGTTTACGTATAAATATAGGTAATAATAGTTTTCTTAGTATTCTTTAGCGTATCTCTAGTATACTAATTCTAGTTTACTTAAAGTTTATTCTATAAGCCGTCTCTCTACTACTTAAAGGTAATACTCTTACTATCTAATAATAAGAGTAAATCTAGAAACTTAGTAGAGCGCGTTAATTAGCTCTCTTACGCTTGTAACGCTAGAGGTGTAGCTAGCTAGTATATAGAGAGGTAAGAACCTAGAATTAAATTCTCTAGTAGTAACGCGCTTAAATCGCGTATAATTAGTGTTATAGAGAAACGCGTCGCGCGTTAAACTAGCATAGTAGACTAGTCTCTAGAGTAGGTTAATTATACTTATAGTTACTATATTTTAGCGTTCTTTTTAGCTAGAATAGTAGCCTATGTTAGATTTTTCGCGTATACGTTATCTCTCTTAGTAAGAGCGTTAGTAGTAATCTAGTAATACATATAAATTTATTATTTATATACCTGTTGTATATATAATTAGCTAACTATTTTATTAACAATTTTAGCTAGCGTTTCTAGAAAGAGCTCTTAAAGCTCTTTAGTAGAGGTAGAGAGTATAAATAAACCTAAGGCTAACAATAGCTCTAGTATTACTAAGCTCTAGTAGAGCCTTATAAGCTTTTAGTTAAAGTTATTGTTCTAATTCTTGTTAGTTATTATGTTGTGTTACTAAATAGAGTTTTTGTAATAGAAATATTAATTAGTATATTCTACTAGTAGGTTCGCTACTCTAGATTTAAGAACTATTAGAGTAAAGAGGTATTGTAGAGCTAAGGTCCTACCTCTAGATTAGCTTTGCAAGAGTTCTTCTATAGTGTTTAGATTTATTCGGCTTTTCGATTAAGAAAGAGGTAAAAGAGGGGAGGTATTTAGCTACTAGTGGAGCAGCGAGTTGTCGGTTCTGCTAGTAGAGTAGAGAGATTATTAGCTCTGCTAGCGAAGTAGAGGATTGTTAATTTTTCGTAATTCGTAAAGAGAGAGGGTTTTCGCACGTAGAAGTTCTATAGAAGTTCTCTCGTATATAGAGCTCTTAATAGCTCTCTTTAGCTTAGTACTAGTATCTTTCTACCGCTAACTAGATTCGCTAGTAGTCTTATACAGCGCTAGAGGTAAGCGATTAATTAGTACGTTAATAGATTCTTAGGGTAAGCAACTAGGCTCTCGTAGCTCTAATTCTTAGTATTAGCTATTAGTAAACGCTTCTTAACAAGGCTACTTAGTTTAGCTAGATATTATGCTGCCGTCTCTAGCTAAAGAGGTATTAACCTTTAGATAATATAAGGGCTAGGTTCGTAGTCTTTACTACTATAAGCGCCTCTAGAACACCTAGCTAGGTAAGTTAGCTATAGGCAGCACTGTCTCTACAAGCTATAAGAATAAGAGGTGCTAGCAGAGTAGGTTAGGTTAAATTTAGCTATCTAAAGGTAAGAAGTAGAAGAAAGGCTCTAAGAGGCTCTATATACAGAGGTACCGAGCGCTAAGGCGCTAGGCTAGGTTACGTGATCGAATTACGTAACTCGAGGTTATATAACCTAAGGTAAATCCCTAAACTAGACTGTTATACTAATTAATTTTTTATTATAAAAGCTTAAAATATAGTAAGTACTTAAAGGTAGAGTTAGCTCTTTTATATAAGAAATCTAGGTCTAATATCTAGCGTAATATAAGGTTAATATTATGTTAATTTATAAAGTAATCTACCTAGTTTTTATCTATAGGTTTTCTAGCTATTTCTAATATAAAATTTTAGATTATTTACCTTAAAGAAGGTAGTTCTTTAACATAAAGCTTATTAATATACTGTATAAGCTGTTTTTCTTGTGTAGTGTTAAGATTCCGGCTGTTATCGACTGCCGCCGCATTTGAGTGGGTAACCTTCCTGTGGCGCCGCGACAGCGTTGAGCGATCAACACCATACTTTTTGGCGTACTCTGCGTAATTAGGTGTTTCTCCCAGCTTCAGCGATTCCAGCGCTTCAAGCGCAGCCTCAATACCTGACATATTGGTGGAGATATGGGGGGTGGAAAATTCTGAAAAATTTCGTTGAACCGTGCATGCGGTGGGGCCGTGCATCGGGTGGTGAGCCACAGTACGGACGATCGCGATGAACCGAATAACCTTTAGGCCTGTGTCTCTCTACTCCGCAACGCTGGTGTTACTTTTCCTCTGTTCCCCTCTTGACTTCTGCCTTTGTTCTTCGTCTCTCGAATCCGCGATGCTGGTCTTCTTCATCGTCTGTTTCTCCCTCAACTTCGTCCTTTCTTCCTTCTTTCTCCGTTTCTCTACTTATGGCACTATACCAATAGGTATGAAAATGCGCACTGCACTACGGAAATCTTCTCAGCTTTGTACGACGCTCACCTCGCCGGCCAATCAAATAGCTTACCTACTTCGCTAATTGCCGCCATTAACCAGGATCCGGACTGTTCTCGAAAACAGCGAGAAGGTCCTAGTCAAGGCCAGCATGACCCAGAGCTGAAGGAAACGATGTGAGAGGAAGCCCCTCGCACACACTACCAGTCACCCTGATTACGTATTTGACGGACCAATTACCTGCCAACGAAAACAGGAAGCAGTGCGAGTACCCACGTTCGTGAGTAGAGAGCTGGCAGTGCGACAAACGCCGTTGCTCACAGGCGTCACACTCTACGAAGCCCAGCCGCCGCAGCCCGACAGGCCGCGGATCTTCTACGAGACCAGCCGCACCGGGATATGTATCCCGTAGAAACACCAGGCGACACTATTCCCCAAGCTGGTGTGCAGGGATTTGGTTCATCTCTTTTGGTTCATCTCCGCCGGCTGAGGGCCTTTGAACAGCCAGATTCCCCCTTCTACCCCGCGACCACCGCAACCCGCAGCGCCCGTCGCCGAGCCGGTCATCATCAAACCGCCGCCGTGCTCCGCTCAGACCCGGCAGAGAGACACCAGACGATGGCGAAGGAGAGACGCAGGGCAGAAGAGGAGGAAAAAGCCGCGCAGCCGACCAAGGAAGGATACAATGGTACTGAATTGGGAGACGAACCGCGCGCATCGAATACGCCGGGGCATCTGCGCATCCTTCGCAACTACGCGTGGCTCGCCTAGCGCCTCGACGCGTGCATGACGGGGCAAACGCCCTTGTGGGAGAAGGAGTGAGCCGTGTGGAGCTTTGAGTTTGCGTTGACACCAGCCGAGATGGCGCTGATTGTGCCCGCGCTGCGCTTCTGGCGCTCTGCGGGAGCGAAGTCGATCCAGACGATACCGGGTATCCCCGAGGAGATACAGAGCCTGGTAAGGCTGGAGCTGGAGTCGGAGTTGGACGGCTTGTTGACGGATAATTAGGTGGCTGAACCGGAGGAGTGTGATAGGTGTTTTCGAAGAAGGGGTAGAAGGGGCACGTTTCTGGACATAGAGAGTAGGGAAAAGGCGGAGGATGATTTGAAGCGGGAATAGGTGCTACGAGAATTGGGAGGGGAGGTTCGCCCTACCTCTCGAATTGATATCTAGGGAAGGTTGGTATGTGGACGGGGCGGCCTCGATGTCTGCGAAGATTCGCCATTCCAACCGTCTCTGGCATAAAACCCCCGCAAGGAAAGGCCGAGATACGAGGATCGCAGGCCTCGAGGAACATATATGCTACTCTCCTTGGACGACATGGTCTCGCTATCCTATTGTTTGATGAGAATTAGACCGCAGAGTCTTTGCGCTACAACATTGTTATGAATTCTTAGAGTGTTCACAAGGACGCCTAATCTGCTCGACTTGATTTGATGCGAAGCAGCTTCTTGTTGGAGCTAGAGCTAGGCGTTTACAACATAAACAAGGTCATCGAGAGCGGCCGAATGTTTTCTGGAAGAGAGATTCGTACTTAGGCTGTGGAACGCGTACGATTTGCCATCTGGGAGGCTAAGAGGTCATTTGTTGTTCACGGAAGAAAGTATTTAAATCTTGATCGCGCGGACGCAGCGCTTCCACTGTAGGCTGGTAGGTAAAGACATTTAACTACGTATTCCCGATCCACTATCAAAGTACGCATTCCTCTAGATCGTCTCGTTCTCTGGAGACTTTCCAGTCGCTAGCCAAGTGTCCTCGGCCACACTGTCGAACGTCTCTAATGTGTTGCAGAATAATAATCGCCGAATAATACGAATGCGGCTGTAGTCCTCTATACCACGCTGAAGAGCTTATGGAGCGACTTGCACCGAGCTAAGCATCGCGGGCCTGGATTCTGCATTTGCAGCTACACGGCATGCGAGCATAGAGCAGCCCTCGTGGAGAGACCAGTCGCACTTATTCATCTCCGCGTATGGCCGATATTGCACGCTTGCGGCCGATCTGATGGCCTCGAAGGGTAGCATAGGGGAAATGAAAGGCTAGTTCTTAGAAAGAAGCATTCCTGCTGTGGAACTGACAGCTACGGTATGAATGCTCCCCTCTGGGAGGGCCAGCAGGGGCAGTAGTTATATAGCGCAGGTATAGCGTGAAAGGCAGTAACCTTTCAGACTTTGACCTCCACCACAAGGTGCTGTAGCCAGGTTACATGACCTGAATTCCTTTGTAGCCGGCGCGCGAAGAATAGTCAATCATTTTTACTTAAAGCCTGCCTCTAGAACGAGAAGGAAATTTCCCTATTCACCTTGTCGCCTGCTTCTGTTATTCGTCGAGCTTTCTGCCGAACAATCTGAAGATTCCCCTGGGTCTCTCAAAGGTACCGATTACTTCATAGTTGACCTTACCAAGCGAAGTGGAATCAAAGTCAAGCTTACCATGAACAGCCTGGGGCCTAAAAAGAGGCGACGGCACATGCTCATTCGCCCATCAACCCGTGGCCTGGCTCAATGCTTCACGGACAAGCGCCCAGTAGCTAGAAGGCATCATGAACACGGACATCAGCCATTTAGCTGTTCAGTAAACAAGCATCGAGGAGCTCAAAAAGATGCTGAGACTCTCGCCTATGCAATTACTGCGCTTTTCACACTTGCCATCTATTCAGACAGGACTATTGGATATCTCTGGTGCTTCAAATACCTCTCAGAATTCGTTGATTGCTCATTTAACGTTATTCTTCGACCCTTGGGCCATGGCGTTGACTAGACTTCCATCTCCTCCCTTCCTACCATTGCGCCCACACCTGATGCTCGTTAAGTCAACGCGCCAACCCTTGCAGTACCCCTTGCTACTAAGAGACTAATAGCCCTCGCAGGTTCCGCCTCACGTTGAACTCTCGACGGCCTTTCTAGCCTTGCGCTCATCCACAGCCTGCTGAATTTGAAGAAAGAGGGGTGACTCCTTCGAATCACACATAAGCCCGGTCACGTACTCCGCGCACACGCCAGGGTTGCAAGCCACAGGGTATTCCAGCGCTGGATTGAGCTCGACGTACGCCCAGTACTTCTTGCACGTTCCGCAACCCGCCCGAGGTCGGAAGTTGCTGTCGACGGCCTGGCCAACATGGTTCCACATGTGCCTTGGCCCAACAGGAGGCAAGCCGTCTGGTTCCGGTCGCGGTCCCCGCGACGTTCCTGCTGATGCCGGCCAGCCGTGGTAGGTATCCCTGTCTTCGTCCCAGAACTGATTCGATGGCTTGCGGGTATCCCAGATGCGCTCCAGGTACGACTGTACTTCCTTGATGGGGACGATAGGCTTCGTTCCGCCCGTGAACCCGTGCGTGATGCAGGTATGCGTGGTTCGGGGCTGGCCGTGTGAATCGAAATCCTTCATCGGCCAGGTAGACCTGTGCTCAGTGTAGAGATCTTCGAGAGCCTTCAGCTGTTCCTCGAAGTTTGCATTCAGCCAGATGAGGTCGGGTTCGGTGCTTTTGGCGGCTCGGGTTTTCGCCTTTACGTACTCTTGCATAAGCGTTAGTAAGAGGACTTTACGGTTCAGCGCGGAGAGACCACATACTTTCCTGGCATCGTATGCCGCACATGTCGACTAGTAGTTCGTGGAGGGTCTGGGTCGGAATAGACATGCCCGGCTTGAGTTTCTTGATTCCAGCGGACCTCGTGAGAGAAACCAAGCGCTTCCTGATATCACTCATCTCCCGTCTTGCGTCCTTCTTGTGCTCTATGTCCCCCTTTGTGAATCCAGAGCCGTTGGGAATGTTGCGCCCGACTCTTATAGCCGAAGTGATATTGTCGTGTATTGGTCGCAAAACGAATTCAACCTCCCAATGACACCGGAGAATGAAACGGTGCGCGGACGCTAAGAATATCTTCAGTAACCTTTCAGAGATTTAAGGGTGAATAAATACATACCTGTTTCCGGCCGCTGTGGCATCGTACCGAAGCGCTCCTCGAACATGGAGATATAGCTCTTCGAAACAAGTAGCCACTCATGCAATTTCTTGAGTCTTGAGGAGACATATTCCTTGAGATAACCTAAGTGGTTGGGTGGTAGCTGAAGGGTCAGCGTTTGCCAGTCTGAAGTGAGGAGGAGACCGGTAGTCATAGTCATCGTCTCGTTACGTTCTTCGTCGTTGCATTTCCCCTCGGTCACTGGACTAGATATATGTGAACGTCTATCTGCCTCCTAATTCGTAAAAGCTGCTTGCTTATGCAAAAGATTCATTCAAACCCTGTTATGATTGATAGAAACAGCTTGCTGAATACCCAAACTTCCAAGCCGCCTCACCGGAAATAGCTCACAAACTCATGCACGTGTGGACCCAAACATTCTCGCCTTGTAGAACGTCCTTACAAACTTATATCGGCCTAACTATTCTCGCCTTGTAGAACGTCCCTACAAACTTACATATGGGCCCAAACGTCCTCGCCTCGTAGAACGTCCCCACAAACTCACATATGGGCCCAAACTTTTTCCCCGTCATGGGTCATGACCCGATACGCGACAAAGCTTGCCCCGGTGTCTGCCTTGTCAAACCTAGCAATTGTCAGCACCCCGTGACCAAGAGTGGAGAGGGATCGGATGCGCTCCACCGCCGGATTGTCCACGTAATCCTTAGCGAGGAACCCGAATCGCTTCACGGTCGTGAAGTCGATGAAGAAGAGTTTCTGATGCTGTAGCGTCTTGGGGTGAAACTCGAGGCAGACGACGAAGGGTGTAGGAAGCCACTCTGACTCGTAAGATTCGGACTCTGACCGATACTCGAGATATCCAAGTTGTGTCCCGAAGGTCAGGTCGGTGTTTGTATTGCTGTTTCTGTCGCTGGCGACGGACTTGAGAGCGAAGACATCTCGGTATGGGAGTTCCATTCCACGCCGATACCAACCGGCATGATTCTCCACCTCATCCTCCACCACAGGTGCTATCCAGTACTTATCGGCCGGCGCATTGGCTTCGTACTGAGTGTCACCATCATATTCATCTTCTTCCCCGTCGATGTCGGTCTCCATGTTGAACAAGTGGAATTTGATTCGAACAGGCATTCCATCAATCTCTTCGAGGTCGTACGTCACGACGTCCTTCTCGTAGAAGTGGTACAGCGAAGAGATACCCACATAGTCGAAGAAATTCGCGAATGTAGCCCGACGGAAAATCTCCTCCACGGAGGAGCGGTCCGAGGGTGAGATGGACATGTCTACGGAGGAGCGGTCCGAGGGTGAGATGGACATGTCTACGGAGGAGCGGTCCGAGGGTGAGATGGACATGTCTAGCTGAATTGGTTGCGCGAACCTTGGGAAAGGGGAAGGAGTCGATGAGGAAGTTGATGGTGTGCAAGACTCGTGGTCCGACGGAGGTTTTCGAGGAGCACCTTTTCGAGGAGCACCAGGCGGAGTAGTCGGAAGGGTGGGAGACGGAGTACTCGGGGTGTTGATTGATTTTCTATTGAGTTGGGTTTATATGGGGAGTGATGTTGTAGAGAGAGGTCCGCACTATTACACAATACATACTCTGCAAGCAACATAGTATGGGCACTATACCTAGCGCCTATACGTATTGTGGTGTAGCACCCTGATGAGTGCTCGGGTGAGGCTGTCAGATGGGGAAATGTGAGGCTGAAGGTCATGTGACTTGTGGCTGAGGAAGAGGCTGTGCTAGGTCGATATTGCATTAGGGGGCTCACCCGTGTCGATGGAGCGTCCGTCCTTGGGGTATGGGGTGCGCGACATCTCTGGTAGGCTGTTCTGCCTTGTCGTAAGCTAGTCAAAGACGCCTATTAATGAATTGACGCCGCGTGTGTCATTTGCATGTGGGCGAGCGCCGCGCCATTTGGAAAACTTACCGTATTTCCCCACTCAACGCACAGACCCCACTCAACGCACAGTTAACACCAAAACGCGTATATTTTCAACACCTCATAACTCCACCAATATGGACCCGATTGACGCAGCTGTTGAAGCTTTAAAATCCCTAGAGCTGGGAGGACCTCCTAATATATCCCAGGTTGCTCGGGAGTACGGCGTTGAGCGGTCGCGGCTCTCAAAGCGTTATCGCGGGGTTCAGGGCACTAATACATCACGGGCTGAGAAAAAGCAACTCCTTAACACTACACAGGAAAAACAGCTTCTGCAGTATATTAATAAGCTATATATACAAGGCCTACCCTCTATAAGAGAGATAATACGAAATTTCGCAGCAGAAATAGCCTATTAAGAGCCTAGAAAACACTAGGTTAATCGCTATATTGCGCGATATTAAATTAACCTTGTATCGCGATAGACATCTAGTATTAATAACTAGCGCTATAAAGCTAATTTAGCCTTTAAATACGCTCTCTATTTTAAGCTTTTAGATAATAAGATTAAGTAGTATAATATCGCGCTGTTAAATACATACAACATAGATAAGAAGGGCTTCTTAATTAGAGTAATATTAAGAATAAAGCGCGTATTCTCCTAACAGCAATATAATTAAGAAGGTATTAAGTAGGTACTCTAGAACGGTAACAGGGAGTAGATAACGACAATAGCTTATATATGCGCTAACAGCAGCTCTCTTAATCCTGCTCTAATATATTAGGTAGCTTCTAGTAATATCTAGGATACATAGTTACAGAATTTTAATTCTTAAGAGCACTAGGCCTTCTTCGCCTTATTACTATCTAGATAGACAAATAACGAACTTAGGATTACCTAGCTTAAGAGGTGCTTTTAAGAGAAGACGAAGAAGAAGGCAAAGCGCAATTATTAGCTTCTAATTCTTAATAGGCATAGCTTACATATTACTATAGAGTTTATTAAGTTCTATAATTAAAATTAAATTCTTCTAGCTATCTATCCGCCGTATTTAACCTATACGCTGCAGCCTCTAGATATCTACCTTTTTAAGCCTCTTTTAGCTACATATACTAAAGAGCTTACCTAGTTTATGTATAATAGCTAGAGACTTACATCTATTACTAAGCGCGACTTCTTCTACTTCTTCTATAAGGTATATAAGATCGCGTTTGCTAAAAAAACGATTATTAACGCCTTTAAGGTTACTAGTATCTCTCCGCTAGATAGCAACGCTATATTAAAGAAATTTAAGAATCTAGAGCCTAAGAGGCTATTAAGTAGCAATAGTACGTTGTTAGTGCTCTCTATAAGCAATTAGCGTAAAATTAAACAACTCCTGCGACAGGTAGTTAAGAATATCTATAATAAACGTGCCTTGTAGCTTTCTTATACAATACACGCAATAGCAACTTAGAAACAGCTTCTCTAGCATGAAAATAATCGCCTTAGAGATGCCCTTATTAATAAGAAGAAGCGCTGTAAGCGTGGCAAGGCATTACTACTTAAACCCTCTAAGAATTACGCTAGCGGCGCTGTCTTCTAGTTGCTATCTAAAGTTAAAGCTGCCCGTAATCGCTAGGCTTAAAAAGACGCTAAAGTAGAAGAACTACAACACTAGAAGAATTGCGATAAGCTAGCTAAGAAGTAGAAAAAGTAAGAGAAATAGGCTATGCTTAAGTAGAGGGCGTGGATAAGAATAGCTACACAGGAGATTAAGTTGTAAGAAAAACAGCGGAAGGCCGTAGAGCGCGAAGAAGCTCTACTTGCGCGCGCAGCTAAAAAGCAACTTAGAACTAATATACAATTAGCTAGAAAGAGTAAGGCGCGTAGCCTTAAGGCTCCTGCACCTCCTGCTCATGTTATTAAGGAGCTAGAGGTTGATGTTAAGGATCCATTGGTTATTGAAGGGGTGGTGGAGGTATCTAGCCTATTAACGCGTACTCGCAAAGTACGCCTCCCACAAAGGTATCGCACGTAATTTATTGTTGCCAATTAATCAAACAAGCCTTCAAGAATGCTCCTCTAAAAAATCTTGTAATAATTAGATCTATATAGGGCTGTACAGCTTTAAAAGTAGTGGTGATGGCCATCCTCAAACTGTGCGTTGAGTGGGGTCTGTGCGTTGAGTGGGGAAATACGGTACCCGCCTGCTCCGAAATCGCGCCAACCTGCTCCGTATCCGAGCCCAGCCCGCTCGTCACCTCAACCCGAATTCGCTCTCGTAACTCTACTAGGAGGAATTCACCACCTTGCTGGCTACCGACATCTCGCGCCGACCACACCGTTCAAGCATCTCCTGGACTGCTTCTCTTATTGCGAGGATAATTGGGAGCCCGATGTCGGACACTATTCCGAAACGCCGGTCTCCGTTCCGAAATTCCGGCCTACGAGTTCCGAGCGCTTTGTCCCCCGCATCTCGCGTTATTTACGGGCTGATCGCTGCCCAAAACTGAAAGAGGTGAGGCATCAGTCGAAATTCCAGGCTTTCAATCAGCCCCATTTATCTGGGCCCTCCGGACGCAAAAGAAATTTCCGCCAGCAACAGCTCAAACCTATGCAGAGAAGGTAACCTGTTTGGGGCATTGCGTAGAAGACGACAAACCGCTCCGCACTCCTCGTCTTCCCTCCCAAGATCTGACTCAATCTGCCCTGCGGATGAAATCAACACAGCATCTTTCCCTTCCAGTTACGCCTAGCAGCAAGGGTCGCTTTTCCGATGTTAAAGAAACCTTCAATGCCAGAAATGACGAGGCTCTATCGCCGACCCCACGGTGTGTGCGTACGCTTGAAGGATTGCCACTGTTGTCACGGAAATGCATCTTAAAAGCGACAGATAAGAATTGCACGGCCAACATCTTCCCAGTCCCCAAGGAACAATTCCTGGACCAAGCAAGCATTCTATCAAGGAGAACGCACACGGCCCACACACGGCCCACACAGCTCCTGCGTGATCTTCGATCCGGTTCAACGTGCAGCGTCTATTTCGCACGCCTGCTGCCTTCGCTGGATATAGGGCCCCTCCCTCTAACCAGCTCTCTGGTATCTATCCCTCGCCGCCCGCATAACAGACAGCTTCTATTAGTTTCAGCCAGCCCATTTTGACGGATGAGTATGGCGTATATCGCTCGCTCGATGCGAAAATTGAAAAGAAGAGTAGCAGGCAGTCACGCTGGCAGCTGGCTTGTATGGTATTGATTCGAATGAAGCTGCATCGCGTGCACACTTTCTTTCGTGCAGGCCAGTGGGCTGACGGCTCCAACGCAGCCGGACCTGGCTCATTTTCCTTGCCATTTGCGCATCGCGGCGGGAAAGACGCATGTGGCTCACGAGATTTGCGGACTCCTGTCTTTGAGCAAACCAGGAATGATACGGCGCATAACGAGAAAATTCGATTACCTACTACGCGCACGCAGGTCGGTTGATTGTGGAGACAGGGCAGGTAGTGAGGCCAGGCTTCCTTATGCTGGATTTTGCAGAATGCCGACGTATAATTATGCTAATAGACATGGATAGCGCACTTGGCCCCACGCAAAGTCATCAATATCAAGCTATTCCAGAGTTAAAGGGGCTTTCCATGCTGAAAATGCGCCTAGCTGGGAAGGGCGTGCAGTGCTCGTCGATGGACGCTGTGGCGCAACCATGACTGCCCGCCTCATTCACTGCGAGCGTGTTGCCTGCAGCCGTACATGCAGAAGCTTGGCCGCACCCGTCGACCCATATGCTTCGTTAATCAAATGATACATTGGATAACTCTCCAGTCCAAGCGGTAGTAGGCGCGAAAAGGAGCTGGATGTGTTCCTGCGCAGTATCATTGACCTGGAACGACGCATTACGACCTTGCGATCCTGCTGCATCTGCCCTACGAGGAGCCGTAAGGCAGCTCAACCATGATAACTTATTTGTGGTCAATCTGAGAAGAGATATTATTATGCCCAGGAGTGTGGAGGCCTATTGTGGTGTGGCGTGATAGAGACTACCCGCGGGCTTGAACAGACCTCGGGACCATTCAGCTTGTCAACCAGGGAGCTGGATATTGCAAACGCCTGGAGATCCGGTTGCTCCTAAGAGCATACTAGTGCTGCGGAGATTCAGGAAGACTGCTACTCGTGCTTCTCCCCGTCGTGCATGCTACTGTTCGAAGCCCCGGCAGTATCCGTAGCTTGCGCAGTTTCATGAAACGGCCACAGCCTTGGTTAAGGTGGAAAGACGTATAAAATTTTATTTCATTAGTTGGAATCGGGTTTGTCAGTAACATGGTACGTTTTCGCTGGCTGGATTTACCAAGGTCGTTGGACTATTGCAGACAGATGCGTCAGGGTACTTCGGCAACAGCTTCCTAATACGGTAAGCGCGCATAAACTTCTCGTCGAATTCTACCCTCCGAATACCGCCTCAACTCTTGATATGCCTCTCAATAACTCCCCTCGCAATCTAGAAGAGATGATTATAGGAATAAGTAGCTTTCTTGTGCGCTACGGAAAGAGACAAGTTGCAAATCAGTCTTCGACCCCGCGGTCTGCTCTTAACGCCCTAAACCTCCTGAGGTCCTCTAGATACCACGCTTTTTCTTGATCCAACTCTAGGCCCCCTCTCTTATATAGCCAGTTCAAGCTACTTACCCATATGAATAGGCTTCCCCTGCTTTTCCTGGGAGGATGGGTTGCACCCTATTGCTGATGCCCATCCCGTCGTTGCACAGCTGATATCTCCATGCAGGAGGCCTAGACATCTGGGAAGTATGACCCACACCCGAGAAGTCTATTTCATACGAACTGGGCCTCGAGTTTAGTTTGTATTGACTGGCGGAGCACTCTAGTCGTCCTGGAATGCGGCGGCGGAGGCCCTTCTTCTACCCAGTCCAGTCTTGTAGATTATCGATACTGTCCCTGCTGGGAGGGCAATGTGAGGATGAAGTTGGGAGGCTTAGGAGATCTGCTTATTATAGCTCGTGGCTACCGGAACGGATTCGAACGTTTCATGAACCGGTTTCGGAGGTTCACGTCGATTTGTATCGTAATGTTGCGCTGCGGTACCTTGTGTCGTCCTCTTGAAAGCGGTAGAACATGACTCGGGTATCCGTGGTCCGATATAGGCGCCGTGCACCAACAAGGGCTCCTCGCTTAATGTGAAGGACTACTAGGTCATGATCCCCGCGTCCGCGGGATGTAGTCGGCTGGATGCTGCGTGGGACCATAGAAGATGCGTAACTCGCAACAGCTGCAGAGAATTTGTGATTTCTATAACCTTGGATCGCCGTGAACGCCGCGTCTCAGGCGTGGTGGTGGGTACCCGATGTCGGAGTTTGCCGGAATCTCCGGCGCCGTAGCGAGGGGCGCCGCCTTTCTGACGCTTCGGATGTTGTCTGCGTCGGGTTATCATCCTCGACGGCATGACCTTGCATGGCGTTCTGTTAACTGGTAGAAGCGAGGAGTCTTGAAAGATGTTCTGGGCGGGCATAAGCACAGCGAGTCGGCTAAGAGGAGGTTGCAAATCGGGTAGACTTGAACCTCCTATTCTGCAGAACCTCCCTCCCGCCAAGCCAACGTTGCAATACCTGGCTCTATCGCTGATTGACGGATGATATCGCATGAGGGCATGCGCCGGTCTCGGGGTGCAAACAGGCCTCGAAAGGAGGCGGGTGATGTTGGTGGATGCGCTGGCGCTCCTGAGCATGGTGGGTATTCGTTTGGAAAGTGTACAGCATCGCTCATCGCGTCTTCCTTCCTGCTGCATCTAAGATTTCCAACGTCGGGCCGGCGAAGAAAGGGGGGCCGAAGTAATGCCTCGTAGCTAGAGAGAGGGGGAAGATGCACGGATGACAAGCTCTACATCTGCTCGTAGAGCAGACATCAGCTATCCGAGACGATCGTAGGTGGCCGAGGTTTGTGAAATCCCTGGGGCTAGAGTATGACGGAGGTGGGATAAGCGATGCAAATGAGTGAAGTGGAAGTCCAACCTGCTACCGGATATCAGCAACGATACCAGGGGCTTCGGGGTAGATTTCTTACCGCTTCACATGCTCCTCTTCGTGCCGACAGGATAGCCTCTTGTTCATCCCTCTGATCTGCAGGAGACGGCAGGCGGAGTCTCTGCGGTAAGATGTAGATGCTCAGCCTTCAGATAGGGGAGGATACTCCTGTACTACACTGGCGCGGCGTCTGGAACAAAGAGCACAGCCAGGCCGAGTCTGGTGTAGCCGTGCTAGAATGCGGGCAATAGTCTGATTTGAGGCGGCTTGCTGTAATGTAGCGGAACAGATAAGTATACTTACCGATCTTCGAGAACTGGGCCCTGGAAACGGGGCAGTAGTCATACAATGAGAATGTTGTTGGCGGCGTGGCCGACATGCTCCGAAAGAGAACGTGATACCCGAGTGCGGCATTATAGCTGCGGGGAACCTCGCGGTTAGCTGGTTGGGAAGAAGCGTTGTTAGCGACAGTGCGAAGAGCATCAACGCGGAAAGAATAGTGTCGGGGAGCTAAGCGGGCCTAGATGGGTCTGGCTGCGGGAGTCCGTTGGGTATATGAGAAGGGGAATGCGTGTTAACCCAGAGTGTGCGTGCTGAAATTAGTCATGCCTAGATTAGAATGTAGCATTCGTTGATTTGGTCGCCGTCAAAGTATCTCCGCTTTCGCTCCTGCTTGCCGTTGGTCGGTTATTCCGTAGGGCGCCTCTTTCGACGGGAAGCGCCCTCCGCGTTTCTGTGCTATAGTAATCCGGCGACGTTACCGATTGGATACTTCAAGGAAGGAGAACCTGGCATGCGCAGTCGCAAATGACCGTTCTCGTTGTTTCAGATAGCTGAATCCCAGATCTTACGAAATCACGGCAACTACACCAGAGCCATGGGAACAACAATGCGAGGAAGACGCCAAGCTCGCCAGATTCCAGGAATGAAAAGCGCACTGGCTCAATAAAGTGGCTGTGTACCGGTGGACCGGAAGCTATCGTCGAATCTTCGTCGGCGGAGCACCAAACAACGCAAGAATGGGCGCCCAGTTACGCGCGCGGTATGAACTCTGAGAATGGGTCCATATAGACGCGCCAAACGCATGTGCGATGAACACCAACCAGGCGGTATTTGATTACCGCTCGGGCAGGCATGGACAATGTTAAACCCAGAGAAGACGGTAGCTGTTGTTTCGTTCTAGCGTTTCGAGATTCAAAGACGACCACTCCTGAACTCAAATTGGTCAGCACGAGCAGCCACGTCAAGAAAAGCGTGTATGATATCTTAGAAACTCGATGATCAGCAGTGTGATGAGATTGCAGATGAGATAGATACTCCAGGAGGTCCTCTATGACCCCTCGAGGAGTGGGGCACACTATGGAACACCAGGCATCTTCGTGTTCCTGAGACGCGTTTCGGGAAAAGACGTGTGCAAGGTCAGGCGTTAAACTCTCCCTTGACAATAACGGCAACGGCCGGCACCTGCGCGGTCAGGACGAAGGTGAAGATGCACCAGCTTCTTTTGCGCCCAAGGCGGAGTGGGTTGGTTCCGGAACGAGTACGACATGACAGACTCTGATGGAACTGCTCAATGACGCGGCTTAGGACATGTCGTTACTAGATAGGCTCTCGCAGACTTGCCAAATGGCACCGAGGCTTCACCTAAGGACATGGTACAGCTTGATAACTCGCGTAGAATTGGTAAACAACACCTGACGGTCCCTGGGGCATGGTACGACGTGACAGGCATTTGCATTAAGTTCGCAGTCATGCCGCAAGTTTGTACCGCGCACCGCTTGAGAGACTCTCATAGAATTGCCTAATGACACCGTTGACAGTCTAGGGCATTCGCAGTCGCAACAGGGCAGGCGATGATGGTCTAGGGATGTGATCAAGAGAGCGTGGACCGGGCGTGGAATGGGCATGGCTTGACAGTCTCCAGCGGAATTGCTTAATGATATCAATGGCATGGCCCCGGAGTCGCAACAAGGGAGAAGCCGATGGCCTGGGGATCTAGATTCGTAGAGACCACCATCTGAGTTGGTACGGGAAGAGAGGTTTAGATCGGCCATGCGGGCCACCGCTTCTCAATCTCCGGCGCACGCGTTTCTGGTCCTGGAGGGCAACATCTTTAAAGAAAATCTCGTACACCCAACATCTTATAGGCATAAAGGGTCTCAACGTCGTCGTTGAGGACTATTTCTTGTCAGCGAGCGCCATGAAGAAGTGTCGAAAGATAGTATACGATTATCCGCCATTTCAATTCTAGGCATAATCACGTTCGTATCCACGCCAGTGACCTTAACTTTGATATCGATCAAAAGAGGTTGCTCCCTCCCCTGTTGTCGCTAGGTCGGTATTGGGTACGGAGCTGTTGCCTGGGAAGTTGAACAGGGTGTATCGAGACTGGGGAAACCAGGAACGATAGACATGTACGCAGAGTATTGACGGCGGTCGTACGTAAAAGCAGAGCAGGAAAGTGGGCGGAAGGCGTTATATAGCCTGTCTGAGTATGTGGCCACTCCGACGAGTACGTGTATACCATCAAGAAAGCTGGACGATTACTCGCCAAATTGCGTTGATGCATAATGTAGGATTGCCGCGAATATGCGGTTTGGCGGCCAGGTCTTAGCAACAAAATGCTAACAACGCGGGAATGTACGGACCACCAATGCAGACCGACGGTCGTCGGCGTGAGAGATGAAAAGGCCTGCCAAAGGGCGTCGACGAATCCATAACCCAAAGCGGCCGATATCCAAGACAAAAGCAGGCTAGGGACCACGAGATTTCGTATAGGAACTGGAAAGCTGACGTCCGAGCTTATCGGTATCGGAAGATCCCGAGGTAGTGCGCCGGAAGTAATAGACGGCTGTTCCAGGCACCGAAGTCCGACGGAAAGCGGTTGGAGCGTTCCTGATCCTGGGGGGATCTAGCGGTCCATTAGAAAGGACACAGTGGAAAGCAGGCCAGACGGAGCAGGAAGATCAGAGATATCGCCATATTTGGGGAGATATTCTGATGTTGCTGGTGACCTGGTTTTCGAGATTATAACAGCGTTCATGTCTCAGAATATACGATCTCGTTTCGGTATCGAGGCAGTGGTTGAGTTCAGACGTAGCGTAATGATGAATGATAACGTGTTCTGAAGACCATGCTGGCGATTCTGGTAGGGATGAGGATGTGGGTTTCAACTGGATTCCAGCGAGATAACTACCGTCCCCGCCATTAAGCCCGCGCCCGAGGTGCTCTACTGGCGAAGAGGAATCCATGGTCGCGCAGAAGGAACAAGCAATGCTGACTCTTCGCCGAGCTTTGGTTAGGCGGAGCAGGCGACGTACTGCGCAGACGAAAGGGATCGCAAATTGGCGCAAAGAGGTTAGAACGCCGTCGCATGTGGGGACCACGGTTCTAAGGTTCGCTAACGGAAGGAGCGGCATCCACTTAGCCAGAGGAGGACGTCCGCGGTGACATGGGTGTGTGATTGGAGAACCAGGGGTGCGCCAGCCCTAAGTCGACCAGAGGAAGTAGTAGGATGAGAGAGAATTCTCCAAGAAACCGTACGGCAGGTACGTTCCACCAGACCCGGCCTCATCTTTTTAGCGTGAAGAAGCTAATACGCCCAATTGAGCCCATTTTGCGCATCTGCGGGCTACCAGATGCGCACCTAAAGACAGGACCAAACGTGCATCATCCTTCAGGTCGGGGCGCAGACCGGAAATGACCAGACGGAGGGGGAAAAGCTGTAAAATAGTGGCGTTGACTGTGGTCGAGGGTCGTAGGCTATACGTTATTTCTGCGAGATGAGAAAAGCGCGCGAAAAGAGAGGCGTGGTGTTCCATATCGTGTGCAGGCCTTCTTCCCCTAGGTACGCCTTCTCAGGCAAGGAGTACGCGCTCTACGGGCCGGATCGAGGGGCTCATGCCAAGAGCGAACCGCAAGCAGAAGCCAAAGCCTACGTCGGACGAAAGCGGACCGCAAACGCTGAGACACTTTCGTTGTGTATTAGGGCCACAGTCCCCTCTCCCGTGACTCCGATAGCCACCGAAGTAGTAACGATGGTCTTAAGAGTTGTGCCTTGGAGGCGTGTGCTGGTAACAAATCGGTTGGTAGGTATGTTGCGGCGGCGAACGAGAAAGTTATCGGGGACGCAGGAGTCTCGCTTGTAATGCCCGGGCGATTCGGATCTGATGAAGTCGCGTGCCAACCTGCGGGCGAGTCAGAGAGCCGAGTCTATGCATATCGGCGCCGTTGGAGAGCGTAGGATCAGTACACTTACATGAGAGAAAGGTCTCTTATAGCGAGCCATCAAAGGTTGACCAATGCCATAACGACTCTTCCTTTATCCGCCACCGCGCCCCGCGGCCCCGCGAGCACTTGTCCCTCGTGCTTTAGCTATTCTTCTCGATCCTCGCGCTCAAACCGGGTCTTGACAACATAGCCCCATATGCCCGAAACCGCCGCCGCCGTGAAGTCGCTCCGTGTAGCGTACTAGAATAGAAAGATGGATGTCGCGATGATACACCCCGGGCGAGCGTTAGGCCTACATCGGAGCGGCAAACCACACGGCAGCCTCAGAGACGAGCTTGCGGATTGGCCTCATTTGTTGGGGGTGGTATTCATCAATCTCGGAACCGACCGTCTTCTGCTTCTGCGATTAGCTCCTATCAGCGTCAAACACACTGGCCAAGCACTCACCTTGCAAGCTGGATGGGAGATCACTCCTCGTCCCTCTGACGGCGGCTCAACGGGCTCGTCACTTCGACGACACAGTATCCATGCCCTGCTGCCCCTCAGTCGGCCAATTCGCTTTATTGTTGGCTAGCTCCATGTCCGCCGGTATCGCGGTAGCTGATCGAGACAGCTGGTTGCGGCGCGCGGGATCGGCGCAGCGTGTTGTGGCATTTCGGAAGTCATTCGCCGTGGCAGGAGGCTTCAGCGAGCGTGTTTGGAAGTTGGTAGCCAGTCTAGCGGTAATGGAAAGTCGAGGTGGGTTCACCGCCGCCCAGGCGAGTGAGTGGTTCGTGGACGGCGGAGGACGGAGGATAAACATGGTAACTCTTTCTGCGGTAGATGCGGCGGCTTCTGCTGATGTCCAGCTGGTCGCGCTCGGTGCCGTGCCGGCGGGCCAAGGTGTCGAGAGAAGCATTGTAGCTGTGATGAACGCCGCAGTCCCCGACGGCTATCCAGAAGCGCTCGCGCTCCGCGTCTGGTGAGCTCAAGCTGCTAACCGCATTCCAGAAGAGCTCTTTGGCGGCGTCCGCGTTGTCAGCACGAGACAGAAAGTCGATGAGTCGTCCAAAGAGCTGTGTGACGAGGAGTACGGGATCAGGGCAGGCGTTTTCCGGGCCATTCAGTGAGCGTACGGGCGTGCAGGCGTGCGGGGGTATCTAGAAATGAAGTCGAAGAGCGGAGGTGGTGGGGAAACAGAGTCACGGCCGGACTTACTTTGTTCCTCACCGCCTTGGCAGAATGCCGAACACCACTTCCATACCAGACACAGCATGTACCTGTCGCAGGTTAATCTAGATCAGGTCTCATCCAAACTTCAATCAACTCTTCGATCAACTCAGACACTCATCAATTTCCGTAATTATCTGCCATGATTCTAGCGCGCGGGCAAGAAAGAAGAGGGTGAAGTTCTCTCATACTTGCGAGCCAAAAGCTGGGCGGCGGAGGCTACTACTATGTACGGCAGCGATTGCTGCAAGCTCACATGTGCTGTTCCGCCGATTCGTCCTTGCGCCCAATTCATCCTTGTCCACTGATTTGTCCACCTATTCATCTGAACCATCAATGCGGACCACCACCGCCATTGACATCCACCTCGCCATTGACATCCACCTCGCCATCGTCGTCCTCTTTGCCATTGTCGTCCTCTTTGCCATTGTCGTCCTCTTTGCCATTGTCGTCCTCTTTGCCATTGTCGTCCTCTTTGCCATTGTCGT